AAGCCCTACAGAAAATTGGAATAGATGGTCTTTATCTCAATCTAGTAAAAGCCATCTACAAAAAAACCAACAGCCAACATCACACTAAATGAACAAAAGCTGAAAGCTTTCAGTCTAAAACCAGGAACAAGGATCTCCACTGGCACCACTCTTATTCAATACAGTTCTAGAAACATTAGCCAGAGCAATTAGACAAGCAATTAGACAAAGAAATAAAAGGAATAAGGATAGGAAAGAAAGAAGTTAAACTGTCATTATTTGCAGATGACTTGATACTCTACATAGAAGACCCCAAAAACTCCACCAAAAGATTTGTACATTTAATAACCAAATTCAGTAGCATAGCTGGATATAAAGTCAACACTCAAAAATCAACACATTCTTGTCCACAAATAACAAACTCACTGAGAGAAAATTAGGGAAACAACACCTTTCCTAATAGCATCCAATAAAATGAAATACTTAGCAATTTCACAAAGGAAGTAAAAGACCTTTACATTGAAAATTACAGTACTCTGAAAAAAGCAGATGGAAGAGGATATTACAAAATGGAAAGATATTCCTTGCTCCTGGGTAGGAATAACCAACATAGTGAAAATGGCAATACTCCCAAGTTTTATATAAATTTAATGCAATCTTAGTCAAAATACCATTAGCATATCTCACAGCATTACAGAAAACAATTCTAAAATTCATTTGGAATCAGAAGAGACCTAGACTAAGAAAAGGAATTCTGGGCCAAGAATTTAGCTCACTGGTTCAGCCGCCTGCCTCGCAAGTGCAAGGTCCCAAGTTCAATCCCCGGTACCAAAAAAAAGAAAGAAAGAAAAGGAATTCTGGGCAACAAAGGCAAGACAGGGGCCATCACAATCCATGATTTCAAATTACACTACAGATTATATTACTATGAATTATACTACTATGATAAAAAAAACAGCATGGTACTGAGGGAAAAAAAAGATCTGAGGATCAATGGACTAGATTAGAAAATACAGAAACAACCCCAAACACACTCAGCCACCTTATCTTTGACAGAGGAGAAGAAAGATAGCCTCTTTAATAAATGGTGCTGGAAAAATTGGCTTTCTCCACGCCATACACTAAAACTAGACCCATGTCTCTCACTATGCACTAAACTAAAATCAAAATGGACCAAAAATCTAAATATTAAAACAAATACTAAATCTGCTGGAAGAGAGAATAGGTAGAGCACTTGAGGACATAGGTGTAGGCAAAGACTTCATGAACAAAACCCTGAACACACGGGAAATACTACAAAGAATCAACAACTGGGATCCCATCTTATTAAAAAGCTTTTGAAAAGCAAAAGAAACTACCAACAGAGTGAAAAGATAACCCACATAGTGGGAAAAAATTTTAGCCAGTGGGTCCTCAAAGGACTAATATCTAGAACACATAACAAACTGAAAAATATCAGACCCTCTCCCCAAATTTAAAGACCCAATCCAAAAATGGGAATCTCAGATGAATACACACTTCTCATATGAAGAAGTAGAAACGGCAAATACATGAAAAAATGTTCAACATCACAGGTTATTCAAGAGATGCAAATTAAAACAACGCTGAGATTCCATCTCACTCCAGAAAGAATGGCCATTATCAAGAAACCAACCAACAACAAATGCTATGGGGAAAAAGCAACCCTTCTCCACTGTTGGTAGGAGTGTATACTGGTACAACTGCTGTGGAAATCAATGCAGAGATTCCTCAAAATACTAGGATTAGAGGTCACATTTGACCCAGCTATTCCCCTTCTGGGTATCTTCCCCTGAAAATTAAAAGCATCATACCACAGAGATATATGCACACCCTTGTTTATAGTGGCACAGTTTGTAATAGCTAAATCTTGGAAGCAACCCAAATGCTCATTAACCAAAGAATGGATAAAAAAGATGTTTTTTAATATAATGGAGTACTACTCAGCCATAAAGAAGGATACGTTTGAGACATTTCTAGGTAAATGGATGCACCTTGAAACCATACTCTTAAGTGAAATAAATTGAACACACATGTGTAAATATCATATTGTGTCTCTGGTGTGAGAAACTTAAAGTGTAAATAAGGACCAAAATGTAAAATAGATATAGTGAAATAGGAATTGTTCAAAATTATACCAAGTATGAGATACCTGGTAATTAAAATGTTTTATGCAAATAAAGATATAGTATTACTAGGAAATGAGTTGAGATAGATTAGCAATTGAAAATATATTCTTGGGCCGGGGAGTTGGCTCAGTGGTTCCACTGCCTGCCTCGCAAAGAGCAAGGTCCCAAGTGCGATCCCCAGTACCCAAAAAAAAAATTCTTTTTAGATCATGATACCCTGTGTATCAGTTATTCTCATTTTTGTTATGAAAATTTTTTTTCATAGGACTGTTTTCTTTTTTAATATCTACTTGTATTACATTAAAATAAAAATAAAAGAAAATGAAAAAAATGACCTATCAAATATAGATAGGAAGAAACTATGAGGAAAGATACTCCAGGAAGACAGTGATCAGAAGGAGCAGGTAAGAGGAATCTAGCTAGCCTGGAATACCTACAGTGGGTAAAAGGAGCCCAGGGTTGGGGTGAGATGCTGAAAAGACACGTTGAGAAACAATGAAAGATGGTTATGGTGCCAAGCAGATATTCCCATTTCAATGGAAGTTTTTAAAAAGGGGATAGTAATTTGATTCAAGCTGTCATATAAAGCTGAATCTAGTGGGAAGGGGTATAACTGACTTTATATAAGGAGGCCAGTTTAACAACTATGACAAGAGTCTGGATTAGAGTAGAGGCAGTGACAATGAGAACAGAGCAGTTACAAGGGGAAGACAAAGACAGGACTGAGAGGATCTGTCACTTTTCTCACTGCTGGGACAAAAATACCCAACATCCACAAGTTAAAAGAAGAAAGGTTTATTTTGGCTCAGTTTGTAGAGGTTGCAGTCCAGTCAACTGGTTCCAAGGCAGAAAGGCATGGCGGAGGGGCACTGCAGAGGAGAAACAGTCCATGGAAGGGCAGGGAGGAGGGAGCAAAGCAGCAATCAGCCAGCCTGCTTTTCTCTTTTATCTCATCAGTCTACAAGCCTTTTGGCAGTGCCACCCACACTCAGGATGAAGCTTGTCTTCAGTAAATTCATTCAGCCACATTCAGAACTATGGTAATTCCAATCACTGGACTAATTTAGTCCACACACCCTTATTCCCAGTCTCACACACACTAGATCCAGCCAGCTCCAAAAAGCCTCACTATGAGTGCCTAAGGCTTTGGGAGAACATCTAGATACAAGATGTAACACTGGGTGAACACATGGTAGAAGTTTTACACCTAGAGACAGGGTAAGAAAACTAAGAAGCAAAGGTTTGCATCTGTAGAAAGATGAGGTCTGACACAGGCATTACACCCAGGTAGAGGAGGCCAGGGCAGAGGCCAGAGCTGGAAACAGACTAGAACATCCACATAGTGGCAATCCTTGAACAATAGAGCAGGCTGAGATGGCCCCACGTACCATGAAGAGTGATCTAAAGTACAACCCCAATGTCACAATCTCCCAAACACACCCAATGCTCACAGAAAATCCCTATAATATGCATCACATGAACAGTGTTCATTCTTTATGTGCTCTCCTTTTACTCCTACAAATCTCTCTCTTCAGTTTTGTGATTATGAGTAATAAAGGTGCCCCCATTGTGGAAGGTCATTTTTTAAAGATGTATTCTGATGAGAGTTTAAATTGAGTTATCTGTAATAAGTTGTTGCTTTGAAGACTTCAGAAAAGTTACTGATGCACTCTACATCATCACATTAAAGATCTGGAAGGGGACTGAGAGGTCATGTACCTCCTTCTCATTTCACAAATGAGGAAACCAGGGCCAAGGGACTTTGCCTGGCATATCACATAGCAGGTATGTTACAGCTGGCCCCATAATGGGAGCATGTACCCACCTTTCCTCCTCAACTGCATCCTTGGGTATGGCTCCCAGCCACACACAGATGGACAGGAGAATGGACAGAGAAGTAGAGATGCTGGATAGATGGACAGTCACATGATACATAGATGGAAAGGTAAACAGGAAAGTGGGTAGGTAGGTTGAGAACCATAAACAAGAGTGGGCATAATATATCTATATTTCACCTTTTTCAAGTGAGAAAAAGAAAAAAATGGCTCTGGTAGATATTTTGGGGGCCTGTCAAGCCTTCCAACTCTAAAAAGTACTTTGGCCTTCTCAAAACATTAAGCTATATTTTAATCAAAAACATTAGATAATATTATGACACACCCTATTCAATAAGTTTTCAGTCCACCATACTAAAAATCTTGCTATTTTTTTTGTTCACATTTGTGTACACATGAAAAGGCAGTTTGCAGGAAAACATGATCATAAGACTGAAGTTAGACTGTTTGGGGTCTGTTTATTTATTTATGTTTTGTGTTTGCAGCACTAGGGATCCAACCAAGGCCTTGAGTATACCAGGTAAGGGGTCTACCCCAGAGCCATTTTCCCCAGCCCTCAGATCTTAGGTTGTTTTATTCATCACAAAAAAAATGCTCCTGGTATCCCATTTGGAAAGTTAAGTACAATTTCCTGCCAAGCATGGTGGCTCACATCTGTAATCCCAGCACTCGGGAGGCAGGAGGATCACCATGACTTCAAGGTCAGCCTGAACTACATAGTGAGCCCCTGTCTCAAAAAAAAGAAAAAGAAAAGAAAAAAGGTACAATTTCCTTAGAATGCAGCTCCAAATATATCCATTTCTGTACAAGATGGAGAAGAAGACTATAAGATTCCAAATATATAAGTCACAGATATACAGGGAAACATCTGCTAAGTCACATCAGGCATTCCAGAGAGCAAATTTTAGTTCAGCATTTCACAATAATCTAGAAACACATGAACTATGGATGTTATCACTGATGATTTCTTATTTGATAAAGGCTGTTTCAAACTTCCCCACACCCACTAGGTCCGTGCAGCAATATATTTTAGTGGTACCTATCAGATTTTCAAAAAAATCTTCTTTTTGTAGAGAATGTAGGCAATGAGCACCCACAGAGCAGTGGCGACTATATTCTGAATTAAATGTTCTTTGTGTGACTGATTATCATCCAGCTTCCATTGAAAGGGAAAGTAGTTCTCAAACACTTCGTGGCCAACATACACCAGAATAGAATTCATTCCTTAAAGAAAAATACAGAACATGTTTTTCCTGAGTCACATCAGATCATCTATTTAATTCCTGAAATAAGTTCATGAAAAAACAAAAACCATGCACTTGCATTACTGGCTACAAGCAAAAGTAAGTAATGGATACATATCTCAGATATTTTATGGGCAAACTGTTTTTAAATTTTTAGGAAATAGTCATTTTATATCAATGAATTGTTTGTGGTGCTGAAGACTAAACCCAGGACACTGCACATGCTAAAACACTCGGCTACAACTCCAGCCCAACAATGAATTTTTAAATATCAAATCTGAAAGGAAAATTACAACTTTAACTCATATTTTTTTAGACAAAAAAAATTGATAGTCAAAGAATGTTAACTATTACTAGATTCAAAGAACTAAAATGAATCACTGAAGTGATCTGGTCTCTCAGTCCTTTAAACTACATCTCTTAATATCATCTCTTTGCATTTCTTACAAGGTATAACCTTTTAGGTAGTATATTGGCAATAAGAGAGAAAGCATAATCCCATTTCCAAGTATTAAAAACTGGACAATATGCCCTGCATCATTTCGGATACTCCACAATTTGGTACTTCCTGAAGAAATAAGTGAGGCTTATTGTCATGCAACCACAACTACTCCAGAACTTAAAATGGGTGAAAATGGAGTGGACTGCTTTAGAACAGGCCAAGGATGTCCTGAGGACCTGGAACAACATGACCCTGCTGGATTCTCCCTCTGCCTGTCCTTCAGAACCAGGCCACCAGAACAGTGGTGGAAAGCCAGCAGGTCTCTGGGCCATTCCACCTGGTGACCGCCACCAACTCTGTATGGGGTTAGAGGTAACTTACCTGGATAGAAGAATGGCATTCCTGACCACAGTGCCCTCACATCAACAACCAAGTACAGTGCCAGCAGGATAAAGAAGGCAAAAGCACTCAGTGTGGTGACATAGGAAATGGACCTACAGAGAGTTAAATGAGTTATGCTCAGGACAAGCACGTTCAATTTCAACTCTAGAAGTCACCAGCATTAAAATGACACTTCTATACTTACCAGAGATTTTTGTTTATTGGAATAAAGCCTTTGTTTTCAGACATTTTTGTCAAAGCAACAGAAATAAGTCCCTAAAATAGGGAGAGAAAAGATGTTAAAGTTTTCTATCATAATTTCAAAAAATAATTGTATTTCAAAACAAAGTATCTGCTTAGAGGAGGCTGAAAATTATGCCTTATATTGTGCCCTTTTAACTGGAAACATATTTTAAGGGGTATAACTAAAACACATTCCCCAAAAATATCTTTTCAATATTACTCTGAGTTGAAAAAGGTAAACTAATTGATAAATTACAGCAGATCCTAAGAGGAAACATTACTGCAAAGTTATGGGTAAAATGAATACTGAGTCAAACTTAAAAAAATTTTTACATGTAAATCCGAAAGTTGCTGTTTAAAAAGTATTATTACTTGCCTAGTGCTCCTGATAAGGCTACCCATGCAGAGTCCATAACTCACAATTTCTTTAGGCATTCTTCATGGCACTGTTTGATGGCAAAATTATCTTATTTATAAACACAGCATTCTAAGAAAGTAATCCTGAGAATTCAAGTGTAAATATTTGCTCCATCTTGGAGGTGAGGAGGGAGCTCATCTAAACATGATACAAGTGTTTAGCATCGACAAGGTGCTTGGTTCAATCCCTGCCACCAAAAAATAAAAAATAAGTTGAAGAAAAAAGATTTGTTCCTCTGCTTTAAAGTGAAAAATGTTCCTGGTCACCATGTGGTGACAGATGCTACAGCAGAGTTGCTAAACACTTCACTTCTTTTTAAATACAGATGAGTGTGAAGAAAAGCCATCTTGGAAGAAACATCGGTTACTTACAAGAACACAACACCAGGCAGTGAATCTAATGAGGATGTCTTTGGTCTGACCCTTGTAACACAACAGTATTTTTCCTGCCTGAAGAAGAAAACAATATGACCAAGGGAATCACTGAAAACATATTTTTACTTCATAGTTATCCACTGTCTTAACACTCAACAAACAGATTCATTCACAAGGCACACGTCCAGATAGTAGGAGTGACAGGAGGAATGACACTTTTACCCCTTCCCTGCCCTCAACACGGAGTGAGAGATGAGGAGCTCCTTCGGGGAAGGAAGACAACATCAGATGGCGGTGCCACAAAGGGGCAGCCACAAGTACATGATGGTGGAAGCAGAAAGGGTATTCTGAGCAAAAGGGAACAGCAGGCACAGAGCAATGTGAAGAGGCATAAAGAAGCCCAATGGCTCTCGGGGGGTGCAGAAGGGTGGAGGGCAGGAAGGGTAAACAATGGGGTGAGCAGTAAGCTGGCTCAGAGGGGCTTTCTTTCCTTCATAAGCAATGAGGAGCCAAGGAAAGTATGCCCCTAAAGTGCCAAGGGACCTGCCCAGCCTGTCCTGCTAAACCATCTGGTCTGGCAGCACTACACAAGAGGGGCAGGGACAAAATGGAACAATAGGCAGGGAGACATTTTTGAAAAAAACCCATTAGGACTTTGCATGAAATCCCTCTGAAATTAGGAATTGATATTTGAAAACATCAAAGGATAAAAGTGTTAATAATTTATAATAGCTAAAATTTATGAATGTTTTCTATGTCCTAGTTCTTAGAACTTTACAGGAATTAACTTATTTAACTCTCAAAACACCCCTATAAAGCAGGTGCAGGTGAGACTTAGCAAAATGAAGTACAGTAAACAGTGCCCTGGGTCACAAATGCTTCTGTTTGCAAACAATTTAACCTCCACACTGGATGAGCTGCCTCAGCTGGCAGAGATTTATTTATCCAGAGAGCTTAAGGACTCAGCAAACTTGTTTAAAAACATAGTATGAACTAGACAGTACTATAGTGATAGTGTAGTGATCTCTAACTACAAAAATCATTTAATCATCAAAATGTATATGCTTTCCATATGCACTATCCAATATGGGAGCCACTAGCCACATGTGACTTTAAATTTAAAACTGAATTTGTTAAAATTAAGAAAGCTAAAAAGTTCATTTCCTCAGCCATACTCATTAAATTTCAAGTACTCCACCACCACCTGGCTAGTGGCCACCCTAGCAGATAGCATGCTTGAAGAGCATTCTCATCATCCAGAAAGCTCAGGAGCACAGCTTTACAAGATTTTCCTCTGCCACTTCACTTCCCTCAAACAATAGTTTCAAATACCAGTAAGGAGAATTTTAGGAAGAAACATTTAGACTACTCAGAATTTTAACAAAAGTACATTCAAAGTAGATGAAGAAAAACCTGTATTGACCTTGACAGAAAATACAAATGCTCTGAAACCACATACAGTGTTGGCTACAATATCAATGTCTGATGGCACTGCCCTCAGGAATGCATTTTACACCCTTATAAAAGGGCTTGAAACAGCAAGTCCAGTCTCTGCCCTTGCATCTTCCACCAGGTGAGGATACAGTGCTTATCCTCTCTACAAGATGCTCAGTTCAAGGCACCAACTTGGAAGCAGGGGTCAGACCATCATGAGATCATGAACCTGCCAAGCACCCTGACCTTGGACTTGTCAGCCTCAAGAACTTTAAGAAATAAATTCCTGCTCTTTAGAAGTTACCCAATCTCTGTATTTTTTTTTACAGCATCAGAAACATGCTAAGACAAGTACACAAAAATAAATGGTACAAAAGATAAGGTGACTTCTCAGTGTCACTAATGTCTGAACACTCTGCTCACTTCAGCAGGGAAATCTTTTACCCCAAAACTGCTGGGTTAACATAAGCCACGTAAATAAGAATTTTTTTTTTAGAATATAAGAATTATACCTATTTGTGCTGAGTTTTAGGAACTTCTGGTTTTGCACAATCTGTTGAACCTGAACAGAATTTACTAGACCTGTAGCACTGAAGAGGATACGCTTATATTTTAATGAAAGTTTTTGAATTAGTGATGAACCAATCATCAGACAGTCAGAAAAAAAATGTATACTACTAAAATGAGCAGATACCTGAACTCCTAAAAATGCCATCACAATGGAGTTGATGGTCCCTAAGATTCCTTCTGGATCATAGGGCACTTCAGTGTGATACAGCACCTTCATAAAACAGAACAAGAAGCCAGCCTTTACTCACTGACTGTGGAAATGAACATGAACAACTCTCAGTCTGAATACAAACTTGAATGCTGCATCCCAGGCGTCAACTTTTTATTTGTTTTTGCTTTTACTGCATAAGTTCATTGCTAACTTATGGGGATTATAGGCAGAATACTTCCTAGGCGTGAAAGTGTGTGGTGTGTCCAGGGTATGCAGGGCCTCAGGAACAAGCTAGGGTCCAGTAATGGCCCTTTCAACTTCAGCTGGCTCAGTAAACAGTGCCAGGACCCCACATGAATAGTTTCATATAAAATGCATGGTATCTTCGTAATTTCATTATTCCTTTCTGTTCAAAACTTCTGTGCCAACGACAGCTCCCTCTCTTCTTCTAAGGCCAAAGAATATTTAAAAATACATTTGGCAGGGCTGGGGATTTAGCTCAGTGGTTTTGATCCCTGGTACCCCCCCCCAAAAAAAATACATTTGGCAAAGCAGAAGGGGAAGAGGCTTGAGGGGTGGAATGGGATAAAATAAAATTTATTAATTTTTTAAAATACATTTGGGTTGACTCAGTGGTAGAGTGGATAGGCAGCATGCACAAGGCCCTGGGTTTAATCCCTAGCATCTGCAAAATACAGTAAAATAAAATAAATTAAGATAAAACAAAATAAAATTTAAAAATACACCTGTAGTTTTCACCATAAAATACTGACCCTGTAGAAATTTGGAAGTGTACAGTGTAGCTGATGCTGCAGCACATCCCCAGACTCTCCCATCCTTTCAGGATGGAAGCATTCATTCTCCAGCTGCTAGAAAAATTAACTGCTAAAAGCTCCCACTCCAGTTCTACTTCTGGATTATCCTTTACTAAAAACAGCTGCTGGGCTACAGGTATAGCTGAGTGGTAGGGTGCTTGCTTAGTGTATGTTAGTCCCTGGGACCCATCCTCAGCACTGCAAAGAAAAGAGAGAGCTGCCTCTGAAGCTCTGCAGGTGTCACCCCTGCTGGGGCAGTCCATATCCAACAAGGAACATAAAAGGGCCCAATCCCTCACCCCAGTGCATATAGCTCTGAAGTTCCACTCCAGCTTCCTCTGAGGCCTTTCTTTATTGGGACTGCAGTATAGTTCAACTTCTCCCTCTGCCCAGTCCAACAGGGATTGATCCAACAAAGACTGCTACACTCCTGCATGGGAATCTCTATTTCAGAGTCTACTGCCTATAAATCTGACTTGAGATGTAGAGAAAAGTGCTAAAGGCTACTTCTTTTACACAGTTCATTCTGATTTTATGATAAAATGTTCACCTGTCACATAATGAAGTCATTAAGTTAACCAACTTTACAAATAAAATTTAGTCCCTATCACATTTTACTAAATGAACATAATTTAAAGCAGGCCAACTCTTTCTGTTTTTCCGCATTTCAGAGCTCCTAAACCCCTAGTCCCATGTAAAAGCCAATCTCACACACCGTAGAAGAAGGATGCTGGTACAAGTGATCACTTCCTAGTAGCAGGTGGTCAATGTAGCGGGCAGCTCCTCCAGTACAGTTTGCATACTTCCCCAAGTCTCCAATACCACCAGGGCCAAGGTACCCACTAGGAAGTGAAAATATATTTAAATGATGAGACTTCAGAAGGGAAGGTGTATACAGTAGGTATTTATGCATTCAAGAGGCTCAAAGAGCCTCAAATAAGTACAAACCTAAAACATCCCTCTGGCTCCATGCACTTGATTCATCAACACTTGACTCTCCCAATCCTGGCACTGATAAAGGCACAAGGGCTGACCAATTTCAACTCAAATTCACCCTGATACAATACTCACCTCTCTCACTGCAAAGCATGCCTCAAAGGAGAAAAAGGACTCAAATAGAAATCCTTTGACTTGAGAAATTTAAAAGCTATAAAACCAGTACGTTTGATTTGGCAGAAAGTAACAAGCAAAAATGGATTATCTGCAAGGGTTCTTACGTAGGACATCCAGGAACTGGTAATAAGAATGTCAAGCCCAGCCAAATGCCTTCCAGCAGCAGAATAAGGAGCCATTGGGACCAGCTGGAGGTGATGTCTCGGAGGGAAGGGCAGCTTCTCTCCTGAGTAAGGAGTAAGGTAGAAAACACTACATATAAACTAAATGCAAATACAAGGGGACTAAATTATATATAGTATGCATTCTGGAAATTCCCAGGGATTATTTTCTTGCCATTTTAGCAGTAATACAAAAAAATTATTTAATAGGTTCTGATATTGTCTGCATGCTCTAAGATATATCACAGTAAAATATTAGTTAAAAAGCAATTAGTTGGCCAGGGATTTAGGTCAGTAGTTCTAGCACCTGCCTCGAAAGTGTAAGAACCTGAGTTCGATCCCTGGAAACAAAAAAAAGCAATTAGTGAACTGGGGGTATAGTTCAGTGGTAGAACACCTGACAAGCACATGCAAGGCCCTGGTATAAATCCCCAGAACTATACACATATACTCACAAAGATTTAATAAAAATAATTTTTTAAAAGAATACACTTGATCAGCTGGCAGTATTTTATTCAGAAACAAAAAAGTTCTTAAAAACTTCCTAAGTGAATTTATCACACACCTTCCCCCTTTTAATCATATTTTTACATGATTTCTCACCAAGACACAATTTTCAGGTATGGGTTTAGCAAACAGGAGCTCCAACACAGCAACCACAAAGTATGTAACTCCCAACCGCTGCAGCACACCAGGAATTCGTACCTTATCCCAAGACACTGAAGAAGACACAGGTTAGGTAAGACATGGCCAACATGTCTCATCTCAACCCAAGACATTATTATATTTTTTCTAAAGGGGAAATCATACCTATATTACTTCTAAGTGAGTGTTTTTAAGCCTTGGAGACAGAAATATACATGGTTAAGAGACATGGCTCAAATCTAAGTTCTAAGACCAGGCCAGTCCCACTCAACAGAAGGATGTTCAGGAGAAGGCTCAAACAAACCAGAAAGGTGGCCAGTTGGGAAACTGAGAATAAACATGCCTTACTCAGGGGCAGAGATAAGGCAAGGACTACCCTTGGCCCTGAATTTTATTTGCTGGCCCTTTTCAATCAGGCATATGGATTCAATCCTCATGTCCAACAGGAAGTTACAGACCCAACACAAGCCACAGTCCTTTCTCATCAAACGTTACAAGGAGACAAAGCCATTATCTTGCCCAGCAACCTAGCTGGCATACAAGGGATTACAAAGGATTTCTCAAAACTACCACTCCATATGGTCAAAAAAACCAAAAATGGCTGGAAAGCAGGGCCTGATAATAAGGTGACCTGATCTGTCTCTGGTCTGTCCTACTCTATGCATACATAAACCAGAGAAAAAAACTTTAACTTCGCATGGTCTCTGACTTTTCTTTCAAATAACAAAAGAATCTGAATAGTCACGGAGGCTCCTCCTAGGTCTAAAAGTCCAAGATGATATTAATACCCAAAGTTACAGAAGCATCATATATACTTTTCTAACAATAGTTCTTTTTGCAAGTACCTAAGATAAGAGGAATTACATTTCTTTCAAATGAAAACATGTGAAGCTGCAGATGCAGCTTAGATGTAGTGATAAGAGTGCTTGTCTACTATGCACAACATCCTGGGCTCAATCTCTAGCAATGCAATCAACAGATAAATAGGTGATGGATGGATGAATAGACAGATAGAGCAAGCTATAAATTATAACGTGCATTTTCCAGAGTTCAACCTGAATATATACTAACAAAGGGGAAAAAATACTTACATGGACCAAGGCAATAATTGGGATTCACAATGACAATTCCTATACATATTAAAAGGAAACTCCTCCATGCAATTTTCCCCAGTAATTTGAATTTTGAACATCCCCGCTGAAGTACAGAAGTCATTGAAAGAAAAACTGAAGATCCCATAATAAATACAAACCTAAAAAAAAAAATCTATTAGTATGTGTCCATTTCTAATTTTTTCCTTTTATTATTAGCACCTATTAACTTTACAGAACATTGGGTTTCAATGCATATATTTTGATCATATCCATCCCTTCATTTCTGATTTTTCATCTATGCATCACTAATCTTTTATAGTAGACTGCAGGAGAGAAGCACCACACTGTCAGTTTAAAGTGGCAAACTATTAACATCCAGCCAAGAGCACAGGAAGAGACTAAAATGGAACCTGCTGTGCCATGAAGATTCTATCAGCAGATCTTCAAGACCTGCCTTAGAAGGAAATACCTTTATTATTAAATAGAATTTCCAAGCACAACCCTCCCAATGAACTGTCAGAGAAAAATAATGAAGATGCCTAATACAAGTAACCAGACTTTCTCTGGCATGCCCTCAATGTCACTGAGAAACAAAGCATTTCAATCATTTCTAAACTCATGCCTGCTCTTGAAAGAAAAAGCTTAATTTTCTTTTCTCCATTTGGTTGGAGTCACATGTTCCTTTTGCCATACAAATTGTCTCTTTAAAAGAAAATCACACCACTAATTTTTCTAGTTATTTGGTTAATGGTTATGGAGATGAGTTTGCTCTTGCTGCATGCCCGGGGATACCTTGGCTTCCCTTCTGGGGTCACCCCAATCAGATAAAAAGTTCTAGTAAGCATGACATGGTGGCAAACATCTGTAACTCCAGCACTCTGATAGCCTGAAGCAGGAGGATCACAAGTTTGACCCTACCCTGAGGAACTTACTGGCTTAGTGAGAACATGTCTCAAAATGAAAAATTAAAGAGGGGGCAGCTGGGCCTATAGCTCAGTGCAAAGGCCTTGGGTTCAATCCCCAGTACTGGGGAGGAAAAAAAAGCTTCTAGTGACAGGAAATTTCTCTACGGAATCCTTATAGAGAATATACTTAAATAATGATCGAGCCAGGCATGGAGGCTTAGGCTCATGATCTCAGCCACTCAGAAGGCTGAAGAAAAAAAAAGAAGAAGAAGAAGAAAAAAAAGAAGACTGAGGCAGGAGGATCGCAAGCTGAAGGCCAGCCTGGGTAACTTAGCAAGACTCTGTTTCAAAATAATAATGATAATAGAGCTCTAGATGTAACTTAGTGGTAGAGAACTCCTGAATTCAATTCCTATTACTACAAAAACAGGCATAATAATGATGATGATCAGGTTTTCAGGCATATAAAATGTGCCCTACTCAGATCCATCCCCAAAAATAAAAAGTTTCTCCCCGCCAAAACCAAGTCCATATCAGTGATAAAACACAAGGGACCAAAGACATAAAACAGTCTCCTGGCACTGTCTTAATGATGGAGCAGAGTTGCTCAAAGTATCATAGCAAAGGTACAAATTGCACATCATATGGGAATGGTCCCTCAGCAAAAGTAAGAAGCCATAAAAAGAAACAGTTTGGTTGCTCCACTCTTACATTGAATTTTAATTACTATCATTGCCTGCTACATATTTATCAGTATTCACAGATACCAATATACTATATTTCTTTTAGGAAGTATAATTTTACATATATTTTCAGGTTTAGTGGAATTAAACCATATATTCAGAATTTATGATATCCTACAGGATGCCAAAATCTAGTATATCATATGTGCTTTAACATAATGTTCCTTATGAGGCTGTACCTCAATGGCAGAGCATACTTAGCATGCACAAGGCCCTGGGTTTAATCCCCAGCACCACACACACACACACACACACACACACACACACACACACACACACATTAAAAAAAAATCACTTGTCCTTTAAAATACACATGTATAAGCATAATGCCAAATAAAAGAACTATGCAATAGCTAGGTATGGTGGTGCACACCTACAATCCTAACACTCTGGGGGAGGCTAAGGCAGGAAGATTTCAAGTTCAAGCCCAGTCTGGGTAACTAGTAATTTAGTGAAATCCTGTCTCAAAATAAAAAATAAAAAAAGCTCTGGGAATGTAAATCAGTGTGAAGGCCCTAGGTTCAATCCCCAATATTAAACAAATAAATAAATAAATAATCCAGTAACAACTTTGTTCATAAAAGCAAACACCGGCCTGTTTGTGGTCCCAAGCTCAAGGTTAGTCTGAGAGAGGGACTCCAGCATCATCTGAAAGACAAAGGCCTAGAGATGACCTATTGAAAAGTTGATAGTAGATTGCAAACTCACCATGGGAATACAAGGTCAGCCACTGTCAGTCCTGCAGAACAAAATATGTATAAATAGTAAAAAAGAGAACTCTATAAACACTTCCAAATCCAAAATGGACTTTAGTACATATGGATACAGAGAGTGCAACTCACACAGAGGTAACTCACTCTCTTTCTCTCTCTCTCCCTCCCTCCCTCCCTTGAGATTCTAAAACAATCTCTGGGACTGGCGTATTTCCTAACCATAGCCAGACATGGAGAACCAATCTAAAAGTATGTGAACTAGTTTTTTAGCTTTACGTCATGCTATTCAAAACCTCTTCTTTGGGTCTATAAGCAATGCTACCTGTAGGAAATACCTTACCATTCCAGCTAGAATGTTTGAAGTACCAATATCTTCCTCCTCCGTAATTAACGAAGACCATGAGGACAAGAGCTATCCTATAAAGCCAACAAATAAAACACTTTCAGGATTTGGCAATATATTCAAGACCTTTAAGATACAACGTTGGTCTGAAGTACATCTTGGGAGATAGATAGATAGAAATGTGGTTTGTCTGTTTGTTTGATTCACTGTCTTGTCACCAGTTTAGACTGCGAAGGTTAACTTGAGATTTGGGCAGCTCAAAGGAGAGATATAGAGCTGTTGACTGGGTTAGAAACCTTAATTAGCTGTTCTTGCAGCTCAGCTCAGTTCAGTTCATTTTATCTGTCCAGCTGTTCCCAAGTAGCTCTCAGTCCTCCAGCCAGCCCAGCAGCCCTTGTGGCAGTCTAGATTTACAGTAAAAATACAGAATAGCAGCTTTTTGCTAGTATTGACCTTAGGTATGTTAGTTATTTACATGGAGACTAGGAGGTGCATCTGCGCTCACATTCTGCTGAACTCAAACTTAATGTAGTCTGGAAATCATCCCCACACACAGCCTGAACTACAGTAGAGCCATCTTCAGCTTCATTTTTCTCTACAATCACATACTGTATTTATTTGATTATGTAAAAATTCTCAGAAAACGGAATTTAAAACCTGGGGAAACAGAGTCTCCTTTCTCCACCAACCTGAAAACAAGAAACAGACTCCTCCAGAGCAGCTGAGCTCTGGCAAGACCCGAATATGAGGCAGCTGCCGGTTGCAGTCAGACCAGCGCCTGGGCTGAGCAGAGATTCCCAAATATACAGGAAGTAATTAGAAGAATGCTTCAGTAGGTGCATCATCAATCAATTTAAAAAGTGATCCATGATTTCCATCTCAGTAAGGGCAATTAAATCATATATTTTTGTTATTATTACTTTTTTTTTTGGTACCACGGATCAAACTCAGGACCTTGCGCTTGCAAGGCAGGCAGCAGAGCCACTGAGCTAAATCCATGGACCCTATTATTATTTCTTTTGCAGTAGTGAGGATAGGACACATGGCCTTTGCAGTAAACAGGTGCTGTGTATGTGTTAAAAGCAGGTTTACAAGGAATAGTTTTATCAGATTTTCATGAGTTACAGTGGCTGAAACATCAATTCTTTCTTGTGGGAAAAGAATTAAATGGCAGCACAAAAAGAAATCTATCAATAGACTATTTCATTAAACGAAGGAAATTAAACAAGAACTACAAACAAACAGACTCAACAAACAAGGAAGGAAATGTATTAGCCATAAGACATGTTTCACATGAGTCAAAACCCAGTAACTGTAGACTTGAGAAGAAAAGAGTTTTGAACAATTGTGTCAAAATAGTCAGGTCAGTGATAATTAACTCCTCCGGCAATAGGGCTAGGCCTGAAACTAACATTAATTAAAAGTTAGCAAAACAGACTGAATGTGAATTAAGTTTTTCATTAAAAAATTCTAAAAATATCAAATAAGATATAAATTTTCTTCAAATTTCTGTTGCCTTGCTAAGAAAAGCAACTATCAGCATTCATCCCTGCTTTTTTCATGTTCTAGTTATGACACAGACCTTATTTGAAGCAAACTAGTATTTTTGTTGAAAATGCATGTCAGCATCACTTAAAGTTTATTTTTAAGACCTGTTCCTCAGTATTATACTAGATACTCAACATTTGCACACAGCAGGACTCAGAAGTCCTCTTAAAAATTACTCAGAACAGGAAGGCATTTTTTGAGAGTGATGTCCATTCAAGAGAAATCAAAAGAAAATTCCTCTGGTGTTATTAAAGAAAGTGAAGGCCGTTACACTGCTCCCAGCGCAGAGGAAGGGGCTTGCAGGCTGCTGTTCCACTGCTCCCAGTGCAGAGAAAGGAGCTTCCGGGCCACCATTCCACCACTCCCAGTGCAGAGGGAGGGCTTCCAGGTCACCGTATCACTGCTCCCAGCACAGAGGAAGGGGCTTCTGGGCCGCCATTAAACCGCTACCAGCACAGAGGAAGAGGCTTCCAGGCCATCATTCCACCACTCTCAGCGCAGAAGAAGGGGCTTCTGGGAGGCCGTAACACTGCTCCCAGTGCACAGGAGGTGAGCCACATGGGTGCCAATAGCACCCAAACATACACACACACCCCCATCGAAGTGAGAAGACACATAAACAAATCTCAAAACTAGACTTCAAGATCACCTACAGCAAACCCAAAGGGAAATGAGAAGGAACACTCTGACCCTCAACCACCTGGACTCCAGGGACTGACAACAAAAGAGGATCTGGAAAAAGTGAAATCAGAAATAATTTCTCAGATAACAGCAGAGACTATGCTCATAATGCAAGACATGATTAATAAATCTAGAGAAGAGCTCAGAAACGTGATGGAAGCCCAACATAGGAAAAAAATGGAATCCATAAAACAGATACAAACAGGTTTCCAGGAGATCAAAAACTCCACTGAAAGTCTACACAGCAGAATGAGCCAATGTGAGGACAGAATTTCAGATATAGAAGATAAGATTGCAATTAGTGACCAGGAAAAGAAAAATTGCATCAAAATTGTAAGGGACCATGAGAAATCAATCCAGCAGCTGCTAGACAATGCAAAGAAGAACAACATAAGACTGACTGGAGTCAGCAAAGAAACAAGAGAATGAAGATGACATAAAATAACTGTACACAGAAGTAATGGCAGAAAACTTCCCAAGCAGGGGAAAAGAACTTGACATACAGATAAGTGAGGCATATAGGACTCGAAATAGCCTTAATAATAAAAACAAAAATGTACAGATAGGCATAAAACTGTTAAGATTCCAGAAACCCAGCATAAGAAAAAAGTTCTGCAAGCAGTTAGGGAAAAGAAACAAATCACATACAAAGGAAAGCCCATCAGAATCACAGCATATTTCTCAATGCAAACCCTCAAGGCAAGAAGAGCTTGGAGTGACATATTTTAAGCTTTACAGGAAAACAGCCTCCAATGCAGATTGATGTACCCTGCAAAACTATCTTTCAAAATGGATGGAGAAATAAGATACTTTCAGGACTAAGAGCACCTTAGGAACTTCACAAATACCACACCGGCACTCCAAAAAATTTTAGACAATATTCTACGAAAAGACAAGGAGGATCACAACCCCAGGAAGCACAGCAGAATGAATCCATTAGGTATGACAAGAAATTAAACGTAAAGGGGAAGAATCCAACAAAAAGAAAAAGTCATGAGAGTGATAAGTCAACACGTATCAGTTATAACCATCAATGTTAATGGTCTCAATTCACCAATAAAAAGAAATAGACTGGCAGAATGGGTCAAGAAGCAAGATTCAACAATATGCTGCATACAAGAAACACAATGCAAAAAGAAACTCATATGCTGAAAGTTAAAGGGTGGAAAACAATACTCCATGTGACAAGAATACGAAAAAAAGCAGGAGTAGCTATTCTCTTTGCAGAACAACTGATTAAGAGAGACAAAGAAGGACACTACATCCTTGTAAAGGGAAAAATCCAAAAGGAAGAGATGACAATCATGAGTATCTATGCTCCAAACACTACTGTGCCCAACTATATAAAACAAATACTAACGGAAATGAAAAGTCATATATACATTAATACAATAGTAATGGAGGACCTCAATCCCCACTGTCACAAATACATAGATCAACTAGGCAAAAAATAAGTAATGAAATACTAGAACTCAATTGAACTCTTGAACAAATGAACTTAAAAGATGTTTACAGAGTGTTCCAAACCACAAAATCAGAATACACATTCTATTCAGATGCACACAGGTTTCTCTCAAAAGTAGACCACATACTCACTCATAGAACATGTTAGGTAAGGGCAAAGGAAATGAAGTTATCCCCTATATATTATCAGACCATAGTGCGATGAAATTGGAGATCAATAGCAAAAGAAACCACAAAAATTTGACAAAGACATGGAAATTGAACAATACACTTCTGAATAATCAATGGGTCACAGAGGAAATTAAAGAAGAAATCAGACAATTCCTTCAATTAAATGACAATGACATTACAACATACAGGAATCTATGGGACACAATGAAAGCAATCTTACAAGGGAAATTCATAGCAGTGAATACTTATATTAGGAAAACAGAGCAAGCCCAATCAAACAATCTGATGCTGAACCTCAAGCTTCTCGAAAAAGAAGAGCACAACAAACCCAAAGCTCATACAAGGGAGGAAATTATACAGATTAGAGCAGAAATCAACTCAATGGAGACTAAGAGAACGATACAAAAATTCAATGAAGCCAAGAGTTGGTTCTTCGAAACAACAAACAAAATTGACAAACCCTTAGTCAACCTTATCAGAAAAAGGAAACAAAAGGCCCAAATCCATGCAATTAGGAATGAAAAGGGTGAAGTTACAATGGACCCAGCAGTAATCCAGAGGATCATCAGTACCTACTTTGAGAAACTATAAGCCAATAAGATGGAAAACACAGAACAAATGGACAGATTCCTAGACATGTATGAATTACCAAAGATGAACGAAGAAGACCTAAAAATTCTAAACAACCCAAAAGCAATCAATGAAATTCAAAATGTAATTAAAAACTTAGCAAACAAGAAAAGCCCAGGTCCTGATGGCTTCACTGCTGAATTCTACAAGACA